AAAAAGCTTGTGAGTTTTTTAAGTTAGTGAAAAAAAGTGAATATTTTATAGTGGAGCAACTAAACAAGATGCCAGCTATAATCTCTTTGTTATCACTGCTACTAAATTCAAAATCACATCACAATGCTTTGTTGAAGGTGCTAAATTAGGCTTATGTAGCACATAACGTGTCTCTGAAATATGTGAACCACTTGACAAAGAACTCAATGATACCATATTATATATCTTTTAATGATGATGAGATTTTACTCAAAGATAAAGGAAGTACCAAGGCACTGCATATCATCATTAAATGCAAAAGCCATATAATAGCCAAAGTCTTTATTAATGTCATGCTCATGTCTACTATGACAAGATTGCCCATTAATATATCCCACATTCAAAGCAGTCATATATATGTCCCATATTCAAAGCAGTCATATGGTAGTCCGATCATTTGATGAGAGCAAGTGTGGAGTGTCGGGAGGTATTGCTATCCAAAATAACCATCTCTATACACCCTTATTTTGTTCCTTTACTATTATCTATAATTTACTTTTTCTCCAAATAAATGATATTCATTTCATCCTATTTATGTCCCATTTTCAATATTTACCTTTCCCTTTTTATGCTTTGCTATTAATAGAAAAAGTATATAATTTGCATATTATATTTTGAAATTGAAATAATGATTAATAATTGAGTAATGTCATAAGAGATTGTATATTACTTTGAGAGAGTTGAAAGGGACGAAGGCTAAAGATGAATTCTTTAAAGTACGATAAAGTCATTAATTTTGAAAACTCCCCTTTGAACAAAGATAAGTACTTATCCTGAGTAATAAATAATGGTTTATAATCTCTTTGCAATAAATATATAGAGATGAGAATATAGAAAAAAGCTGTTGGAACTTTAGTACCATAATTAAAGTTTCATTTGTATCCTAGATAGGGCAAACACTTGCATAATTGCATTACATTTATCACTTGTTTTGATCTTGGTTCAGTTTAGATCATCTTTTCGACTCGCGGTTGATCCCAATCATTTGCTTTCAATCTTGACTCGGTTCAGGTTATCTGTTTGACTTACGATTCGATCCCAGTTATTCGTTTTGATCTCGACTCTGTCTAGATCATATTTCTAATCGTGGTTTGATCTCGGTTATTCATTTTTGACCTCGATTCAATCTAGGTCAGTTTAGTTTTTTGAACTTACAGTTCAATCTTGGTCATTCAATTATGGCTCAGTCTAGATCATTTTTTTAACTTAAGATTCAATCTAGGTTGTCTGATCTCGGCTCAATCCAGATCATTCTTTTGACCAGCAGTTCACCCCTAGTCGTTTGTTTTAATCTCAGCTCAGCCTAGATCATTTTTTTTACTCACAGTTCGATCTCGGTCACTTGTTTTCGATCTTGACTCAGTCCAGATCATCTTTCTGACTTACAACTTAGTCTCGATCATTTTCGCTTACTGATTTGACTTTCACTTTTTAGGCTTAATAGAGTGAATGTCTAGGTTTTTGTATCTTTCTTATATAATAAAAATATGCAAAAAGGGATAGCTGTAAACAACCATCTATGTCTTAGGTCAACCGGTGTTTTATTATTATTATTATTATTATTATTATTATTATTTCCTTTTTTGGCTGATCAAAATTGCATAATCGAAGGAAATCAAATCAGCCAAAACAAGGGGATTTTAATTCAGGATCGGATCAAATCAGACAAGTTTGCCAAGGCTAAGCCTAAAATCATGTTGAATAGGATCCAATTCCAAGATTCAAACCTAGATTGATTTTATTTGAGCCCTAAAATTAGCAATAAGGTAGACTATAAATTGAAAACAGGATCACAAGAAAAGGTAAAGTGGATTTCTAGAGAGTTTTTTGGGGAATGTTTATGGGATTTAAGGTTTCTATCAAATTGAGAGTGGTCTGAATTTTTGGGTTTAGATTCGAAATTCTAGGATTGAGAGTTTGAATTTCTAGGTTTAGATTCGAAGTTCTAGGATTGTGAGTTTGAATTTCTAGGTTTAAGTTTGAATTTTTGGAAAATTTTTGAAAAAATCTAGGTTCAGGTTGAATGTTTGAAATTTTTGTTGAATTTTCCACGAGAGTTTAAAATTTTCAATCATATTCTAACAATATTTTTCAATAACCGATGAGTTGCCCAGTTTTCAATGGCTTTTTTGAGATTTTTTAGAGAAGACAGAGAGAAATTTTGGCTAGAAAGAGAAAGTAGTAGGGTTATATAAGAAAAAGTCGATTTTGATCCTTTTATAGGGACTCAATACGACGTTGTTTCTAAATACTCAAGATCTACGTGAATCCGATTAAGATCCACGCGACGCCCATGGATCAACCCGACCTAATCGCATGTTTTTATTTTATTTTATTTATTTACTATTTTAATTTTTTACCATTTTTATTTTTTAAGCTTTTTATTTTATTTTATTTTATTTTTTATTTTATTTAACTATTTTTTAATTGAGAAATTTATTATTTATTAATTTTTTTATTATTTTATTTTTAGAAAATAACCTAAAAAATAAAAAAAATCTCTTTTCAAATAAATTCATGAATTCTACCAAACTATTAGAAGATTTTTCATGAATTCAATTTTTATGGATTTTATCAAACTATTAAAAATTTTCATAAATCAATTTTCACAAACAAAAAATTGTTAATAAAGTATTTTGTATTTTATCTTACTAAACTATGAAGGATTGTATCTTAAGTTAAATCTTACAAACTATTAAAAGATTTAATGAATTTTCTCACAAAATAAAATTTTATAAATATTTTGTAATAAAATATCATTAAACTATTAGAAGATCTGTATCAAAGTAAATCTTACTAAACTATTGAAAGACTTTACTAATTATTTTCTTAGATAAAATCTATTAATAAATTCAACGATGAAGTCTCTTCAAGGAAAGACACTAATCTTTATGAATACTCTTGAGGTGATAAAATTATCTTAACTTGCTATCAAACTATTAGAATAATCTTAAGGTCAATTTTCAATAGTAAATATTTTGATAAATTATAAACATGTTTAAAGCATAAATAATTTCAAATTAAAATGATACTATATTTTGAATAAATACTATGAATGTGCTATAATTTTTTTCATGCATAATTATATTTTTGAATCTAAAATTTAATTTTATAGATAAAATTTATTATTTAAAAATATTTAAATTAATTTTAAAAATTTTTTAAATAAAATAAATTTAATTAAATAATTAATCATATTTTAATAAAAAATTAATCACAATCCTTTAAACCTATATTTAATAATAAATTTATAAATTTATCAAATTTATAGCCCTCATGTAAAACAAGCTTTGGTACAAAAAACGAGTCAAAACCCATTAAGCAGGGTAATCTCTAACTGTACCTCAAAACTAATTTTACGAGTAATTCTCGCACGTGGCTAGCCTTCATCAATGATTGTCATCCATTTTCAACAACTGCCCTGTAAAGTTGTTTCCTAAATGGAGGACAGATCCCTATAAAATCAATCGTAGGCAAAAGACAAAGTCCCTTTCTTTTTTGTTTTTCTTTTTTTGACACGAAATATTTATGTCATTGAATTATTTATGGCTGCTTACCCCACACATTTAATCAAATAAGAAATGATAAATGTTTAAAATAGCCCAATCGAATAAATATCGGAAAAGAAATAATTTTAATTACATATATATTTTTGCCATTTGTTTTTAATATTATATCACGTAAATACTATCATGCAAGTATTATTCATTTATCATGTAAGATTTATTTTTATTTTTATCATGTAAGCATCTTTCATTTGTTATGTTAGATTTTTTTTTTATTATAGATGAATGTATTTTAACAATTCATAAATTTAAATATTTATAAATTTATTATATTTATAAATGTAATTAATTTTAAATAAGTGTATTTTATCCTTTGTTTTATTTAAATTTTAAATCTAAATCTATATTTACTATTAATTAATTATAAATAAAATTAAATTAAATGAAATTTAATTAATCATTAATTTATAATATTCATTAAATCTAATTAATTATGAATTAATATATTTAATATTTAATATAAATTTAATGTTAATATATTTATTAAATAATATAAATTTATATTAATTAAATAATATTAAATCCGCAACAACACGCAAAACATAACCTAATAACATTCTATTTATGTGGTTAGTACGAGAGATGTGTCCATGGCTCCAGCTAAGGACTCACGCTTGAGGATTCCATTCATCCGAATTGAATTATTTTACTAATAAATAATGTATTTTTATTTAATTTTATTTTTTAAATATGTTTCAAAAATAAAAATTAATATAAATAATATTTTATTATTTTAATAATGTAATTCTTAAATAAGTGAATCAAGTCGGACTCCATTGATTATTAAAATAAGAAAGCTCGATTGATCTAGCTCTCGCTTGTCTTGGTAATCCATAAACATCCTTAGTGCTTAAATTTACTCATTTGTTAGAATAAAAAATTTCTTATTATGAACTTACTTTTATTAATCATATATATTGTTTATAGAATATACTTAACCACCATGTAAAGTTTACATAAATAAAATTTTAAAATTAATAAAATTTATTCATATAATTATTTTTAAAATATGATATAATAATTTTAAATTTTAAAATTTAACATTTACAATTTTTTATTATCAAATTATAACATTTTTTGTAAAAAAAAAATGCATAAATAAAATCCTTTAATTAAAAAAAAAGTTCATTTCTCTCTTTTTCATCCATTTTAAAGTTGAAGTGATAAATGAAATATTACACTAATAAACTTGCAAATTAAAACATCATCCTTCAGACACGAACTTTCGTTACCTTTTTATTTCCATAAATAAAATTTTTTGAGCTACACAATAACCTTGCTTTATTGATGATACTGATAGCTCAAAACTTACATTACATTTCTTAAGCATAGAGATCGAGAGATCTCTATAGCATTTATTATTCTTACATTTCTACTGATCGATCATCATCGATCTCATTTTTTTGCTGCTAATTTTAGCTGTGAATGGCGGTACTTTGTAAAGAACCGAACCAACTTTTCCGTGGGATACAAGCTGTCTTTGACAACATGAAACTCTTTGAATTTGTCCTTCCAAGTCTCGAGGAGAGGCAATTTGCGGCGGTTGAAGAATTCTACACCAACAGCCTCCTCGATGGCTCCCAACCATATGGCTATCCAGCCGAAGGCGATGTCTAGGAACCCTATCTTCTCACCCCCAAAGAATTTCTTACCCTCCAACATTCCTTCGAGCACTTCCATGGCATCTGATACTTGCTTAGTTTCCATCTTTAGCTGGTCTCCTTTAACAGATAACACTCTTTTTGAACCTTCAAGTAACTAAAATCATATGTCCAATGAACAACTGTATTTAGAATACTTGACAATTTCGTATGTAATGAACAAGATACCGATATATTTATATGATTTTTTAGTATCAGAATGTTTAAATCAAGAATCAACTGAATACGACACTCCGAATTAAAGTATTACTTAATATATATAATTGAGAATATATGAACAAGTAATCCAACCTCTTATACCTCTAATTGTCCATATTTTCATCAAATCTACATGTAAATTTGGGACAAGTTTTTCTTTTCTTTTCTTGTTTCTTATTTTTTTGGCTCCAAAAAATGGAAAAAGAGTAAGGAAGGTGTTGGACAGATAATTAGTAATCGATTTTAAATCTAGTAATATGTGTATTTGTGTCATGTAAAATATTAAAATTTATATATTTATATTATATTTTATACGAAAATTATGTGTTACAATTAGTATCAATACAAAAATATAAAATATATTTTTTGAATTTATTAAATCCATACATAATTATTATTAAAATTTTAAATCGTGTCATCATCATGTTTTATTTTTATATAAATTTATGTCGTGTCATTGTATCGTATTTTAAATTATTAAATCTAATTAATTTCCCAAAAGTTTAATCTAATAAGAATTAGTGAACCAATTATATTATATTTAAGTTCTAACACGTTCTCTCGATAGAAAAGAAACATGCAAATTGGAACAAAAAAAAAAAAAGCTTAATTATTTGAAAAGAAATGAAGTCCAAATAGCAAGATATATACTGGAGAAAAAAATTAAAGGGGAGAGGTAAAATTTCTAGAATTTGAATTAAAACTTTAACTCTAAAATCATGTTATAAAGCGATAATTAAGTGATTAATTGTTTTAAAAGTTGAACTTAATAAAAAAGACAGACAATATCATGTTTAAGTTCTAACAGAGAAAACAACACAAAAATAATGATAATAAAGAATGTTAGTGAAAGTAAGATAAAAATAGATACAATCGTACCCTTTCATCAATGAAGGAAGCCCAAAATCTTGCCATGGCTCTCTCGTATGGATCAGTGGGTAAAATGGGATTGTCTTTCCATGTGTCGTCAATATACTCAATGATGAATAAAGATTCAACAATCGGTTTCCCATGATGAATAAGCACTGGGATTTTCCTGTACACCGGGTTGCAATTCAGAAGGAGAGGGCTCCTCTTGTTTGGATCCTTCAGATTTTCTTCCACAAATTCGTAATCGATTCCTTTCAGTTTCAACACCCAGGCCACCCTGTGAACATATGGGCTGTACCATGTGTAGACATCCAATTGGGTCCGGGCTCAGATCAATTAGGCCTGGCCCAAATGGGTAAGGCCCATTTCAATCATGTATATTTTTTTTCTTTTGTATTTTATGTATTCTATTATTATTATTATTATGTATATCTTTATTCATTTATTTATTTTTATTCAGATTAGATTTATATGTATATTATTTATATAGTTATATATTTATTATTATTATTATTATTATTATTTTTGTAAGATATTTTTGGATTTATCTTATTTTATTATTATTTTTTTTAAAATTATCTGTTCTGATTTTTTCCTGATTATCAGATATTTTTTTTACTATAATATCTTTTTATTTATCTGTTCTAATTATCTATTATTTTTTATATTTATTTTTTTTTTATTTTTTTTTTGGAAGGTTGAGATTGAAGCTGAAGAATCCTACTGGGAGTGGGGATTCAATCTAAAGAGTCCAATTGGATTCAAAGACTGAATCCCCGTCCAAGGAGGAGTTGGGATTGATCAGAAACTCCTGATCAACCCCTATATAAAGGACCCTTTGGAACAGTTCAAGAGACACAGAAAATAGTCAGCTAGAGCTACTGATTTGAGAAGCAAAGGCGTAGGGAAGAGTATAGAAGGCTAGGAAAAGGTTTAGGAGAGTTCCAGAAATTATGAGAAATTTTTTTGGGGATTTTTCGAAATTTTTTTTTCTGGGAGTTTCTGGAAAATTCCAGTTTCCGGTTGAATTTTCCGGCCAACCTTGAAGTTTCCGGCTCAAATTCCGGCCAACATTGAAGTTTCCGGCGAACTGCCCAGTTTCCGGCGAAGAATCCCAGAAACCGACAAAGAATCCCAGAAACCGGTGAATTTCCGGCCAACTTCCGGCGAAAAAACCCAGATTCCGGCGAAAATTTCCAGAATCCGGTGAATCTTCCACCGGAGTTCTTCGGTTTTTTAGAGAGAAGGGAGAGAAAAGAGAAGGAAGAGAGAGAGGGGAGAGGAGCGTTCTGCCGAAAAACGGAGGAAGGTGCCTTTTATACCCTCCCAAAACGACGTCGTTTTGGCTTTAAGTTAATCAGAGGATCCGCGCGTTTTGCCGAACCCGACCCGACCCGAGCGTCGACCCGATTCTGACCCGCGCGTGCCCAGCCCCCTCCGAGCCGAGCCGAGCCGAGCCGTTCTTCCTGAGCCGCTTCTCCGAGCCGTTTTCTCTTCCTTGAGCCGAGCCGAGCCGAGCCGCAACCCGAGCCGCTCCAGGTTTTTTTTTTTTTTTTGAATTTTTTTTTTTATTTGACTTTGATTTTGATCTTGATTTTTTTTTTCTTTTTTCTTTAATTAATCCGACGACGGAGCCTCTACAAGTGAAACAATAGTTTTTCTTGCATACTCTTGAGGTGAGGGAATTTTCTCAATTTTCTGCTAAAAGTATTAGAGTCAATTGAGAATAATTTCCAATAATTAATTGGATGATTTTGTATTTTTTTTAATAAATCCGACGACGGAGCCTCTGCAAGTGAAACAGTAGTTTTTCTTGTATACTCTTGAGGTGAGGGAATTTTCTCAACTTTCTACTAAAAGTATTAGAGTTAATTGAGAATAATTTCCAATAATTAATTGGATGATTTTGTTTTTTCTTTAATAAATCCGACGACGGAGCCCCTGCAAGTGAAACGGTAGTTTTTCTTGCATACTCCTGAGGTGAGGGAATTTTCTCAATTTTCTGCTAAAAGTATTAGAGTCAATTGAGAATAATTTCCAACAACTAATTACTTGGTAAAATTTTAAGGCTTTTGGATAACACAAATTTAAGCTGGTACCATCTTTTGATGGGCGTTGTGAGGGTGCTACAACCTTCCTCACACGTAACCGAACTCCCGAACTTTGTTCTGGTTAGCAGACCTGAACCTATTCTTTTAGGGACCCTCAAGCTTAGGTGTTCCCTAAAAGGGCAGATTCCTTAGGTGGCCAATCACACCTGGATAAAAAAAGATTGGTGGCGACTCCCTAAAGTCAATGTCTAGCGATAGATCCCCGGATCTAGACGTTATGACAGCTTGGCGACTCCACTGGGGACTTTGAGAGTCAGGCCAGCAAATAATTTGTGTTATCCAAAAGCCTAATAAAATTGAACCATTTTTGTATATATGTGTTATTATTCATTCCTGTTTATTTATCTTGTTAATTATGTCATTCATGTGCATGTGCATAACATGAGCTCTATACCCGAGCTCCGTCCCTCTAGGAGGGAGTAAAGTACCTATTGCTTTCGTGAGGTCTAATGCCTCCGTAGTGGCTAGCGAAATACTCCCACTCAAATTGAACCTTTTCCGCTTGTAGCCTGTAATGGGTGAGGATTAGGGTGCCTTACTAGTCTGTGATGGACAAGGATGTAAGGAACAATTTGAGGACCTTTAGACTCTGACTTTAAAACCACATGTAGTGAACCTTAAGAGTGCCTAACCCTAGGATAGAGTCCTTTCTACCCAATGATAGATATACCCTGAAATTAGGACACAAAAAAGGTGTTTATCTAATTATTTTGATTGCTTAACTTTGTGTATTATTTTTTGTAATGTTATGCATCAGCATTACTTTCATTTCATTCATGAAACTAACTATGTTGTTTGTCTGATTGTATGCATCTGTATTCTTTTCATGATCATGTTTCAACACAATCATTTGCATTCATTTCATGCTAGATTTCATTCAAAAAAATGTACATTTCATTTGTGTATCAAAGCATCATACATAAGGCACAGCATAACATTTCTAATCATGAGTATGGTACTCAAGGTCCGAGGATAGCTCCATCTAGCGAAAACCTTGCTCATCCATACAACACAAGATCCAGAGCAAGGCAAATGGAGGAGGAAAGTTCTCATAGATTTGAAAAGCTAGAAAAAGCTCAGGAGAAGATTGAAAATGAACTTAGCAAAATTCTGGAGGCCCTCAATAACATGAATAAGGGGAAAGGAGTTGAAGGAAGTACAAGCCAGCAAGAAGTGGCTGACCCTTTGTACCCTCCAGGTTTTGGCCCATCTCAGGTCCAGCCTGCTCAAGAGGTCCCGTCATATCCTGGAATACCATCAGCTTTCAACCCAGGGCAGTATAATAGCTATATAAATCCTGTCTTCACTGAAAAAGTAGCAGAACCAATTCCTGACCTAGATGCCTTAAAGGAGAAGGAAAAAGAAAAGATGAAAGTGGAGCTGAGGAGAGTTCCAAGATTAGCATGCTAGAGCAGAGGCTACGGGCTGTGGAAGGATTTAGCTTTTATGGGTCAGTAGATGCTGCTGGGCTCTGCCTAGTCCCTGATGTGGTTATTCCCTATAAGTTCAAAGTACCAAAATTTGAAAAATATGACGGTACCAAGTGCCCCAAAACCCACATCACCATGTATTGCAGGAAGATGGCAGCTCATGCTCATGATGAAAAACTTCTGATGCATGTTTTCCAGGACAGTCTTACTGGCTCTGCCGCCAGATGGTATGTTCAGTTGGATAGGACTCGTATTCGCTCTTGGAGTGATATGGCACACGACTTCATCAGTCAATATCGACACATTATCGATTTGGCTCCTGATCGTTTGTCTTTGCAGAACCTGGAGAAAAAGGCAAACGAGTCTTTTAAAGAATATGCCCAGAGATGGAGAGATATAGCTTCACAGGTGCAACCTCCACTGACAGAAAAAGAGACCACAGTGCTGTTTGTTAGCACTTTGAAACCTCCCTATTATGAAAAGATGATAGGAAATGCAACAAAGAATTTTGCTGACATGGTGATCTCTGGAGAAATTATTGAAAGTGCCATAAAAAATGGCAAGTTGAAAGGAGGAGAAACCAAGAAGACATCAGAAAAGAAAGAAGCTGAAGCTCAAGCTGTGAGCTTTGATAGACAACAATTCAGGGGTTATCAACCCTATCCATCCCAAGGCTACTCTCCATACTATCCCGCTGTGAATAATGCCTCATCCTACCCATACCAGTTAGCTTCACAACCATCTCATTCATCCACTTACCGCCTTAACATTCAAGCTCCTGTAAGAACTCAAGTTCGCCCTACTAACCCAGCAAGTGGCTCGCGAGAACAACGGACTGCTCGAGAAAAACCTGTATTTGATCCAATCCCTATGACTTATACAGAGTTATATCGAGAGCTTTATAATAGCCACTTGATTGCCCCCAGCCATGTGGAACCTCTTAAACCACCCTACCCAAAGTGGTATGATCCTACAGCCCGTTGCGACTATCACTATGGAATTACTGGCCATTCTACTGAAAATTGCACTGCTTTAAAGTATAAGGTGCAACGGTTGATCAATGATGGAATGGTAAGTTTTGATCAAGGAAAAGCAACAACATTCAATGTTAACACCCTAAGTGAAAGTCAAGAACAGAAAGGATCTGGAGATTCACAATGAATTGAGGGGCAAAATGTCAATGGAGATAAGGCTGGTTGAAGGTTTCTTTTGTCATTTTGGGATTTCTTTTCAAAAATGTTAGATTTTTTTTAATATGACTTCACTTGTTATCATTTTAATAAAGGCAAGTCAATGCATTTCATTACATTTTTCTCTTTCATTTGACCATTATTCCATACCCTGCTACCCTTCATAACTTCACATTCCCATTCTTAAATTTCAGATGATGAATATTTAGACAATGATAACAATAATTCTGGGATTTAATTTTGAGAACTCATCCACATTAATATGAGAAGATGATTTGAACAGAAGTAAGCTATTACTGGAGGAGAAACAGATATGTCTTGAAGATGTGTAATCTTTTATACAAGTTCATGAGCTCTGTTCAATAGATGATGTTCAAGAAAGGTATTCACAATTGAGATGAAAAATGGCCATCTTTTCTTTTACCATTTGAAAAACCATTTATTGTTACCCCCTTGAGCTTATCATTTTTTTTTTTTTTGAAGAACCCCAACCAAGGATCACCCTCTACACTGGAGGGTAATTTTTGAAAAAAAAAAAAAAAAAAAAAAAAACCACAAAAGGTCTCAAAGATGAAAAGAGAAAGAAAAGCAAAAGAAAAAAATAAATGCCACACATGACTTGGGGCAAAGTAATGAGAATCCTTTGTGTGAGGAAAGAAAAAATAGTGAAACGATGTGGGGCAAAATGCCAAGCTGCATCAAATGATCCTTTGGTTTTGAACCTTTTTAATACATGTTTTGAGCCTATTATATCCATTTCTTTTATGACCCTTCCCCTTGGCCTACGTTACAACCTTGAAAAGTCCATTTGGATCAAGTGTGAATACTCAACTTGAATGATCATATGTTGAGCGAATGTATGCTCATGATGAAGCAATGAAATCATGCTACATTGCTCTAAAGTTGGATGTATGAAAGATATCAACAATGGATAAAAATGAGAAAAAAGAAGATGATGAAAAAAAAGAAAAAAATAGAAAAAAAAAGGAAAAAATGAGAAAATGAAAAAAAGAGATTCAAATTGAAAACCTGAAAGGGTGATCTTGGTAGAAAAAAAGATCCAGGGCAAATGGCTCACATGAATGAAAGGTCAAAGACATCTGAAGATCCCTCAAAGACTGGGGCAAAGTTCGACAAGCTCAAGATGACTTCAACTGTAAATGGAATGAGTTTTTGAAAAAGAATCCTAGATTAATGTTGAGAATTGTCTGAATATTCATCATTTGGACATACCATCCATCTCAATGACATCCAATTTATTTCTTTTCCCATTTGTTTTGTACCAAAACAGATCTTCATTGATTATCTTTACCATAATTCACCTTGCGTTCTCTCATTGTTTCACCCCTAGAATGAATTGAGAAAATGCTTGATTGCATGGTATTTGTCAAGAATTGAAATGATAATGAATGAATGAATATGCGCTTAAAAGAGTCTTGCATTCATTTGAAAAGAAATCTAAGATGATGAAGAAATGGTAGAAACCTAAAAGAGATGATTTAGAAGGATGTATGATGTGACCAAATAGAGAATATGATGGGGCAAATCTTGAAAAGCGATACAACCAAGTGATGAGTACAAGGATGAATTGGTCGAATGGTGGGAACAATCAGTGGACAGAATTTGTTTTGGAATGATTGATGCTGAGACAAGGACCCAGTGATGGTGGAATGAAATTTGTTTTGAAATTTGCTAGTGCTGAGAAATTCATGGATGATGGTCAAGGGATGATCGATTGATGAAGCTTATTCCGGAGTATTGAGAAACTGAACAAGGAAGAATGTGAGTGGAAAAGACAATTGAGAGCTACACTGGTTCAATCTTAGAAGAGCAGTGCAATTGGATCCTGAAAAATCAAAGGGCTTGACACCCAAGAAATAAAAAAAAGAGCTTGAGAAACTTGAGTACCATAACATTGAACATTAATTAATTGGTCAACATTTGCATAGCATGCATTGAAATTCATATGCATTTGCACAGCATACACTACTTTCAGGAGAATATAGTGTATAAATTCAAGAAGCAGGGGTGTTCCAACATCCACATGGAGGAGACAGATATGAAAAGACTTTGCAAGTTTGAGAAGAAACTTGTCAGGTAAGTTCCTAATCCTTGAAATAGGATGTCTTTTGGTATCATGGTTGATTTATAAGACCTTTGGGCATAATCTCCTGAAATCCCTTCAAACACAGCTTTCAACTCCTTTGGACATGATTGTCAAGGAGCCTATTAATTTCCAAAGTTCCGTTGCCTCTGTTTAGAGGAGCAATTTATCTTTTCAAAGTCGTGGTGCCTCTGTTGAGAGGAGCAATTTATTTTTTCAAAGTCGTGGTGCCTCTGTTGAGAGGAGCAATTTTTTTTTCAAAGTCGTGGTGCCTCGTGGTGCCTCTGTTGAGAGGAGCAATTTTTTTTTCAAAGTCGTGGTGCCTCTGTTGAGAGGAGCAATTTATTTTTCAAAGTCGTGGTGCCTCTGTTGAGAGGAGCAATTTATTTTTTCAAAGTCGTGGTGCCTCTGTTGAGAGGAGCAATTTACTTTTCAAAGTCGTGGTGCCTCTGTTGAGAGGAGCAATTTATTTTTTCAAAGTCGTGGTGCCTCTGTTGAGAGGAGCAATTTACTTTCCAAAGTCCGTTGCCTCTGTTTAGAGGAGCAATTTACTTTTCAAAGTTCGTTGCCTCTGTTTAGAGGAGCAATTTACTTTTCAAAGTCGTGGTGCCTCTATTGAGAGGAGCAATTTATTTTTCCAAAGTCGTGGTGCCTCTGTTGAGAGGAGCAATTTATTTTTCCAAAGTCGTGGTGCCTCTGTTGAGAGGAGCAATTTACTTTCCAAAGTTCGTTGCCTCTGTTTAGAGGAGCAATTTACTTTCAAAAGTCGTTGAGTCTCTGTTTAGAGGAGCTTCGGCCAAAAAAAAAAACAAAAAAAAAAACAAAAAAATCAAAAAAATCAAAAAAATCAAAAAAATAAAAACAAAAATAAAAAAAAAATCAAAAAATAAAAATGTTGAGTTGAGTCTTGATTGGGTGTCTACGTCTTTGCGCAATTTTTGTTTCACAGAAAATGTGCAAAGAGGGGCAGCTGTAGACACCCAATTGGGTCCGGGCCCAGATCAATTGGGCCTGGCCCAAATGGGTAAGGCCCATTTCAATCCTGTATATTTTTTTTCTTTTGTATTTTATGTATTCTATTATTATTATTATTATGTATATCTTTATTCATTTATTTATTTTTATTCAGATTAGATTTATATGTATATTATTTATATAGTTATATATTTATTATTATTATTATTATTATTATTTTTGTAAGATATTTTTGGATTTATCTTATTTTATTATTATTTTTTTTAAAATTATCTGTTCTGATTTTTTCCTGATTATCAGATATTTTTTTTACTATAATATCTTTTTATTTATCTGTTCTAATTATCTATTATTTTTTATATTTATTTTTTTTTATTTTTTTTTTGGAAGGTTGAGATTGAAGCTGAAGAATCCTACTGGGAGTGGGGATTCAATCTAAAGAGTCCAATTGGATTCAAAGACTGAATCCCCGTCCAAGGAGGAGTTGGGATTGATCAGAAACTCCTGATCAACCCCTATATAAAGGACCCTTTGGAACAGTTCA